CAACTATATGTCAGGCATCGCGTGCTGAGGATGGGGCAGTGGGCCCACCAGGAAGGCAGGAAGGAAGGGAGAGAGAGTGGGGAGGGCGAGTCAGGTGGGGACAGAGAGGAGGGCGGGGGAGGGAAGGAAATTAAGGGGAAAACAGACTGTAGTCCTGCCTCCAGGGAGCTTACACCCAAACAAGGAAGTAAAAACACCATCAGACACTGAGAGCAGGGCCGGGAAGGAGCGCATGGGCCGTGGGCGGGAGACTGGAGGGGAGGCCCTTGGAGCGGGCACGGCGGTTCAGCAGGTCCAGCCACTTACAGATGAGAAGGAATCAGGCTTGAGGGACGGCCGGCCGCAGAGACCAGACGGGCTGGACTGGAGAGGCTTTCACAGACCAACGTGAAGACTTCAGGATCTACCCCGGGGCCGGTGGGCCGATAAGGGAGCAAGGGCTCGTTCAGCAGAGGCGCGCACGGATCAGATGTGCCTTTGAGAGGCATCCGCGGTCTGGGGGGGACTGGGCCCACAGCCTGTGGCCCCACAGCTCTCCCTGGGTCACACCATGAGCCTCCTGCCTCTCTCATGAGACCCAGCTGCCTGGGCCACAGACATCTGAATTCCACAGCGGCTTGCAGTGTGAGCGCCCACATTTTAACATGATGACGGCAGGTACAGTCTCTTCAGCTCCCAAACTGGAATTCAAAATAAACTCCTACAAGCTCCCTCTGTTCTTACTAACTTCCCACTCTGACTTCACTGAGTTCTTTAATTGATGGCAGAATTCCTGGTCCTAATCTACAGATGTGGAAGCTCTAGTTTCTTACCATAAATAAATAAATAAACAGTGCCTTTCCCCCTCCCTCCCTCCCTCTCTTTCTCTTCCTTCCTTCCACCAAGCTTGAAGATGAGGTTGACGGGTCCCACTTATACAGCAGGTAAAGTCATCTCCACCCACGATGCATGAGGGATGAAACAGGGCTTTTCCATATAAACCTTTGGAGCCCTCTAGAGAAGCTAAAAATAAGCACACACATACAAACGCTCTGCCGTCATCACTGTCAGGCAGCGGGGGACAGCAGGTCCAGTGGGGACCAGCCATGGGTCAGTCCATAGTGAGTCACCTTGACTGTTACCTTTGAAGGCTGGAGACCCCTTCGTGTGAGCATACGTAACCTTGGCCCCTCCGTGACTGACAGCTCCTCTAGGCCTGGCAAAAGACTGGGAGTCACCTGCTCTTCTGCCCACTCAGATCTAAGGCGATTTTACACAGCCCAGGCAAGTACTAGTTTCTGGGAAGCCCATTAACAATGAAGAAATAGTTTGGGAGTCTGTAATTCACAGATTTGGGCTATGGGCATTCTGGGTGCAACAGGGTTGTGGGTAACAGGTAAAAATAAGACAGGTCTATCATTTTAGCAAGGAAGAGCTGAGCTCCAGTTACCGCAGCTGAGCTGGGAGTCGCTGGGGTTACATTTGCCTCAGAGAAACCTTCCTTGCAAAACACAGCGATACGAAATTAACCACAGTGATGCCTCCCTGTTTGAGACACTCGGGATGCCCGCTGCCTCTGTGGGCACACCTCCTTCTTTCTTTGGCTTTACATTCTCCTCCTGCCTTCACTCAGTCTCTGGCTTCTGTCTCCTGGTCTGGGTGAGGACACTGAAACCTGGTTCCTTACCCTTTCTCTCGAGGTTCCGGAATGATACTATTGACGGGATGTGTCTCCCGGTGTCTGCTGCTGCACCCACAGAATGACTCTGTGATGTGGGCTCTGTTCTTATTTGTGTCTCATAGATGAGGATGTTGAGGTTCAGGGGGTTGGGTGATGTAACCCAAGGTCATGCAACCATAGGTCGTGTAACAGGCATGTGAACCCACTGAAGTTCAACATCAAAGCCAAAACCCTACCACAGTGCTGTCCTTCCCCCAAGTGTTGGCACTGAGAGCCCGTTCCATACCCCCTGTTCTCCCCTGGATGTCTCTACCAAGATATCCCCAGGGGCCACCAACCCAACACTTCTGGACTGACTGGATATCTTTCCCAACCACTCCTTCTCGGCCTGGCCCAATCCATCTCCACCCTCCTAGGTGAAACTATTTGGAGTCACCTGGACATTGAATCTTGGTTTCTTCCTCCAAACTACACCTTCCAAGTGTTTTTCCCCCATTGCTACGGTATCACCCTGGCTCATGCCCACAGCCCTGGTCCTTGGGCAGTGGCCACAGCCATCAGGTGGCACAGCCTTCTGGCAAGCAAAGTGGCAGGAAAGAGAATGGGTGTTTAGATAGAGAAGCCAGAGTTTTAATCTCATTCCTGCTAATTTCAAGCTTGGGGATCTTGGCCCACTGCTTCCATCTGCAGCAAGGGTAATATCAGCAGCCCCACAGGGAGGTGGTGAGGATTAAAATTTATGCATATGCTGAGATGCACACACTGAAGACAGCCCACAAAATATGTGTTTCCACTTGCCTCTCTGTATCTCGGTTTCCACCATCTGCAAAATGGGGACAGTAGCATGGCCCTCGTAGGTGGTGGGGAATTTAACACGTCAGTATTTGCGGCCCATGAGAGCAGGTGCTGGGCACACTGTGAGTGGTATGCAAGCACGGCTGTCACCACCGGCCCAACTCCCCCCACCTCTCCCTGCTCCAAAGGCACATGACCTCCTTGCTCGGTACCACACTCCTGCATGCTCCCTCCCCACCAGGAGCTGAGCTGACTGAGTCCCTGCTGCTTCCCCTCTCCAGCGCTGGCCGGCTCGGCTGCACATGGTGCGGCCTCAAAATGACCAGCTGAATATCTTTGAGGGACTGTGCTCTTCTCATAGAGATTCTTTGGCTAGGTATTTTGTTTTCCTATCCTTCTCTATTTTTTCTTTTTTTAGGCTTTTTATTACAGACACATCTGGGCAACTTCACAAGGCCTATTTTCAAACTCCATAAAATTACAGGAGGCCGGGGGAGAGGAATGTATCATTCTGCTTGAGTCTAGCGAACTGAATGGCAGAGCAGCCTCTACCATGCTTTATAAGAAGAAACAATTGCAGCCAGGCTTTGCGAACAATGCGTGCAGACAGTAGCAAATGAGAAACGGCTGCAGCTCTGAGGGGCTCTGCCTCCAGGAGGGTCTCTTCCTAGGCCTTGAGAAGCTAGTTCTTTAAGGTTGAGTCTCTTTGTATTAAACCCTGGTCTCCCTGCCTGTCACAGTAGAGTTTGTCCTGAGAAGTATCCAGAATCCCATTAAATACTGCTTTAAGCTAAATACTACGACACTGTCTTTTCTGGATGTCAAGACGAGTCACCAATCATGATGAACAATGTCTGTCTAAATACATCCCAACCCACACACCCCCCCTTACGTGAATCTCCATACACTTGCTTGTGCCCAGCAAGCATTTTGTATTGCATGTCCCAACAACTTTGTTGCTGTAGATATTTGCTGAGTCATTTACATCACAAGTTAGTGAGATGTTGTGAACAGGACCATGGCTAAGTAAGAGAAAAGCTCACTTTTGTGGTACCAAAGGGTCTTCAAACTGGTAAGTACTCACCAATACCCTATTTTCTTTGAAAACATCAGTGGCGCAGAGTGGATGCATTTCTTGCTTGTGATTTAGCCTAACTCACAGATTCACAGACACAAAGGGGACTTACAGAGTGTGTCTAGTCCAGGGATGGCAAACAGATTCCATCCGTAGAAACATCTCTACATGATCAATGCATAGTATCTTCCAGAAGCACTGTGTTGGGAAAGATAGTCAGGTCAAGCCAGGCACAATTAGCAATATCTGCCACGAGGATGGTGACAGAGTAGGGCAATGTGCACTGCACTTATTTGCCATCCCAGTCTGTTTAAACACTCTAGCCTGCAGATAAAGAAGTTATATGATTCTTTCAAGATCACACAGACGGCCCTGGCAGGCAAGCAACACTCTCATTGCCAGTCGCTCTGTCTCTGCTCCCCGGCCATGGAATCGGTGCTCACGCCATCGCTGAACAAAATTAGATCAAGCAGGGTTATGGGGAGGGTAGTAGATGGAGAAAGGCAGCGAGAATGTAAGCTTTGAAGAACTGATTTAGAGCAGGCCATCAGGCAAGAGAAAGGGCTGGCTGCACCAAGCTGGGGACACACCATCACTACAGTTCCTATCGTGCAAGGGACTTGCCGTGTGCCTTCCCATTCTGCAGTCAAGAAGCCATAGAGCAGGTGAGTCCATTGCATTAAAAAGTATCTAGATGACACAATCAGAAGCTTAAAGGGCAGTCTGTGCCACTCCTAAAGCATGTGTACATGCGTGCAGGTATAGGGATCGGCATATATGTACATCTGAAAAGGAACGGGCACTGGCGTGTGGCAAAGGAGCAATGCCATGTGCAGTGGTTGCCTTGCTGTGCAACTCCAGTGGGCCTGCCCACCGCCATTCCCCTTCCTTGGATGACAGCATGCTAATTTATCCATCTTCCTCTCTCAGTCCATATGCACTAGGTGAGGCTGACTCCACCTTAGCTTTAGGACACGGCATGTGACCCAGACTCAGCCAACCAGAGCATCATGACCCAATGGACACATGCTCTGTTCAAAGATGGGCACATGATCTAACGAGAGCCAATGAGATTTGATTTCAGACTTGAATTGGCATTATCTGGAAGAGATTCTTTCTCAGGCACGGTCAGGCTGGAGCTGCTGAGACCTCTGCGTAGGAGGCAAGAAGGGATGTGACTGTCTGTAAGTAAAGCCAGTGGAAGGAAAACAGAACCACAAGATGCGCAAGGATCAAAGCTGATGTGGGCACTGGTACATAGCCATGCCTGGCAGAGTTATCTCCAAAGTATCTGTACATGTGCCAATAAATTCCCACCACCCCTGCCCAACAGTATTTTGAGTTGGGTTTCTGTCACTTGCACCAAAAGAATCCTGGCCAATAAAAAACTGAAGGCCCATTTTCCATATTTCCAAAGAAAGACACCAGTGTTCCTTGCTGAACCAAATTTACCCTGAACAGCTGTGTTACCTGCAGGGGGCCCCGGATGTCTTTCCCCCCGACAATCACGAGTTCTGCCATGTCTTCTGCATGGGGGGTCCGGGCATGGACGAACAGCGTCTTGCCCACCGCAGTTATGTTTCTCAGGGCGACTAAGCTGCCATCATTGTTCACCTTGAAGTACGGGCTTGAGACCTCATAGTGTAGCTTGTCATTTCCCTTACAGTCACTGAAGGCCACTGGTGAAAACAAAACAAATAAAGACAGAAAGAGCATGAGTAGGTTGGGGAGCATTAAATGTGGATTACCACTCCCCACCCCAAACCCACAAAAGCTCCCCCTTATCCCACAGCACCCCCTTGGAAGCCCCATGGCTTTGATTATGCTGATGGACTACACTCAGTTGACCTGTGCTGGACACTCCCCATGTCCCAGGCTAAGCACTGAGGATGCAGAGAGAGATGGCACTGGGTCCCTGCTCTTGAGGATATGGGTGAAACCTACAGTCAGATACGGCAGAATGACATTTAGGGACATGATCCAATACTGTATGTATGAGGTGCTATGGCAGAACCAGAGAACCCAGGAGACTTGCCTGAAAGTTTTATGCAGACAGTATTTGAGATGGATCTTGAAGATGAGTTTCCCAAGAGGATAGAGGGCGTTCTAGGTTACCCAAAGGTGTAGATGGGTGGTGAAATCACAAAACAGACTCAGAGAAAGAGAACTAACTTGATGTGCTTGGATCAGAGGGAAATTTGAAATGGGGCAGAGATGTTGGGGATGAAGAAGGGGAGGCTGGAGATGTACATGAAAATGTCCATGGGTGGCAAATTGGGAAATGCACTAAGTCAGGGTGCTGAGCGGTAGCCCATGACTATTTTTAGTGTGGATAGGGTGTGTGTACTGACTCCAGTGCAGAGAGTGCTTCCCGAGAGCCGTGGTGCACCATGATCACACAGGAGCTTTTTAATAATCCCAGGGACCCAATCCAAAGATTCCAATTTGGTAGCTCTGAGCTCTTAGAAAGTGGTTTAGAGATGGGAAGAAGAGAGGCCAAGGGCACCAGTTAGGCTGGTGTTGTACCAATCAATGATGCCTGGCCCAGATGAAGGCAGTGTGTGGATTTGAGTGAAACTCCTATAGTAAAATGGCCAATCACGTGTGGGAAGGAATGGGGGGAAGCAGCCATTCTGTGGGTAAGCACAGAATCATGCTGCTTGTTTTCTCTCCCCACTCCATTTTTGTCTTCGTAGCTTTGTGCTGAATAGGCTTGTTTGTGTGTTTAGCAAACCCTTAATTGAAACAAAAAGTCGATACAGCAGTGCATAAATCAGAATGTACAACTTGATGAGTTTTCACAGAGTGGGCACACACACAATATATTACCAGCCCTCCCTTTCTGAGTAAAATGCCTGCCCTCCTCTTCAGAGGCAACACTATGCTGACTTCTCACACCACCAATCAGGTTCACCTGCATTTGCACTGGACACAAATGGAATCATGCCGTGTGTGCTCTTTCGTGTCTGGATTCTTTCAGTCAGCATTATGCTTGTGAGACTGACCCATGGGGCTGGGAGTCATTTTTAGTGATTACCCTAATCACTATATAGTGCGCCAGTATGTGGCTCTAATGAGTTTACCCTACTGTTGATGGGCGTCTGGGCGATTTCCAGTTTGGGGGTCTTAAGATATTGCTATTAGGAACTTACTTGTGTGTCTTCTGGCAACATATACATAGGACTGAATACACCATTAAAGTCATATAAATATCTGATGGACTGAGCTAATATTTCCATTCTTGGAAGATAATTCTTAATGTTGACAATAAACATATTAGGTGATAATAATGGCTAATTAAATTAACTTTCTGTACACAAAGCTCAGTGCTAATAAGCATTTTACATACATTATCTTATTTAATCTTTACAATGACAATGAATGTAATACTATTTTGATCTCCGTTCCCCAATCCCCATATGCACAGTTTGTAGATAAGGTAACCAAGGCTCAGAGAGGGCAAAGAAGGTGACTAACACACATAGCTTGTGAATGATGAAACCAATATGTGAATCCCGGTCCATTTGCTTTTCACAACTACATGTTTCAATAAAGACAAAGCCCCATGTAGAATACAGCCCTCCTGACATCTGATCAGAACCTGAATATAGGCCTGTGAGTACCCACTTCAGTCCTGATCCCCCATTCCCACCCAGCCCTTGAGGTCCCTCTGGGTCGGATCTCTGGAGTCTTTTCTGACTGCCAAGGCAGCGTTGGGGGCATCTCTGTAGGGACACACAAGTGACCCTTGGCAGTCTTCAGTTCTCAGACACCTGCTTGCTCCCTTTGACGATCCTGGTGGCCAAGATTAACTGGACATGCCTATTTTCAGTTTTTGGAGGTAAACTATGAAGGAGAGATGAAGGCTGCTTTCACTGCATTATTGATTAGTATTCATCCACTGGAGACACCCTGCTCAAATGACAGAGCTGGCTGGGAACTTGTGCCTGAATTGCCAGGATGCTTGTGCCAGCCCTGGTCCCTGGGCAGAATCAGAGAAGACAGTCTCAGCTAAGGGGTATTGAGAGTGCCGGAAAAAATCTGCAGGGGTTCCAGTTCCTTCTTTATTTTCTTCTTTCTTCCTTTTCTCTTTCCTTCCTTCCTGCCCTCCTAGTTCCATTACTTCCTTCCAAAAATATTACTGAGAGCCTCTGTTATCCTACATGTTGGGGTTACCATGTAAAGATGAATACAGTCCCTGGCTTGAGGTCTAGTGAGGGAGACAGACAATAATCCCATACTCACAAATAATAGGGAACCTACTACAGGCAGACAGAACACAACATAATGCAAAGGTCCGACGGCATACAGGAAACTGCAAACAAGCCAGTGAGATGGACACAGAGAGCAGGGAGAAAGCAAGGAAGAAAGACTGGAGATAAGCTGGGCCTCGGAAGTGTGGGGGCTGTAAGGCCATGTCATGACTTATTCCTTGAAGGAAGCTTTGCACCTCCCACTGCAATTGAAGAACAGACTGCCTCCACCTGAACCTCAGACAAATGCGGGTCCATATTGTAAGTGACGCCCGCACTCCAGTCCTCCACACCTCTGCTGTCCACTGGCCTCCCCTCTGACCTCCGACTTTGCCCTGTGCCCCACACATTACCCACACGTGCGCCTGTCTATACCTACCATACTTTCCCACCTTCCACTCTACTGCCCCTGCTGTGCAGAAGCTACTCCCCACCTTCCTCATCCTGTTAGCTCTCAATCATTCTTCAGGACTCAGCTCAGACAACTTCTCCAGGCGCCCCCTTTGTGTTCCCAGTTTCCTGCACAGAGGACCTTTTATATCATGTTATATCAATGTATCTACTTTACGGATACATTTTTTTTTCCCCCATGAGAACCCAGAGTAGAAATTGAATCTTACTCTTTTATTTATCTCCACCTTTCCAGCAGTGATCAGACTGCTTCTCCATACAAGTAGCTATCAACCATGGATTCCACTTAACTCAATTACTCTCCAGGGTCAGAGTGATACTCCTGTGGCAGCCTGGGGGTGCCCTCCCATGCTGGGAGCAAAAGGTGCTGCAAGCATGCCCAGGAATTGTGAACACTGGACCCCAGGTGCCCCTTGTCTTGGCTGAGCCCACCACGTGGAGATGGAAGGTCACGGAGGATCTGATCACTCAGACCCCTGGTTCCCTAGGCCCTGCTCGCATTCCTCCATAAGCACTGAGCCTCCACACTTGGCTTTGAGTTGGCTCACTGGTGAAGCTAGCGGTGCTGTGTTACCCTTCTTCATAATCCCAACAAAGCTGTGCATGGCCCCGAGGCATAGCTGGGGTCAGTGCATGCGTGTTGAAGTAATGTTTTGACAAATAACAATAACAACACCCCCCATGTACTGAGTGGCATCCAAGTGCCAGGCTCTGTGCCAAGAACTGTATATCCAGTCTCTCCTTTTAGCCTCATAGCAATTCTAATCAAGAGCAGCATTTCCTTTTTTTTTTTTTCATTATCTAGCCCCCCAGGAGCCTTTGGAGAAATTTTTGCCTAATTGCCACCACTCTTATAAAATTTTAATATCATGGATATAAGTGCATATCTGTTTATTTCCCATATGTGTATCAGTACTTTACAAACACACACAAAGTACAATTTTCTTTGGGGGAGGAGGGTGCAAAATAGCCCTGCAGAGAAGGGACAGCCTATAAGCTTCGTTTCCCATTATACTGGAGAAGACACTGGGCTTCAGGGAGATGGACTAATATGCTCAAGGTCACACATTCAGAAAAAGCTGGAACCTGTCCCCAGTTCAATCTGTCTGCTTTGTGATTCGGCTCTTGTCATATGTGCTTCCAAGGATGGATGAGGGGGAAAAGGGCGCTTGTCCCATCCTGACCCCCACAGGCCACTCACTAACCCCTCTGGGGTCCTCAGAGGTGCCAGGTGAGGGCATTCTGAGAGCGAGATTCCCACTCAGGACTGGGCACATCGTAGGCTCTCCATACAGTCCAGCTTTCTTCCCAATTTGCTGTGTCAAATAGCTAAGGATTGCGGAATTGGATCCTTGTTTATTTTAGACATCTTTTACCAGTTCAGGAGCAGGTGCTTTAGGCTGTGGTTCTTTTTCAAGGCTTTGAGAATCACATGAAAACATTTTTAAAAAATAGCAATGCCTGCCCCAACCCCCACCTGGGATTCTGATGCAACTGGGCTGGGCTGGGGACCAGGCACTAGTTAGTATCTCTTCGAATCTCCCCAGATGAATCTAATGGCCAAGAACTGGGACTTTAGACAACGGGCTGCTTATCAAGATGCCAGGTTTCCACATTTCTCAGCCATCCCTGGCACAGAAAGGGGTTGGGGACCAAGCATGCCAGGAACTGCTGTTTCTGTGCCCTAAGAAAGGGCAGTTTTAATGGCAGGTTTCTGAGCCTTTTTCCAATCCTGGCTCGTGGGTAGCAGCTCTGTGACTTAGGCAAACCACCCATTCTCTGTGCACTTCAGTGTCTTCATCTTGAAAGTGGGACAAATACTAGTACATCCTCATAGGTGCTATGATCCTTAGAGTGAACACTAGACACAATTACATGTACATCCGTGCATAAGACAGACTTTGGCGATCGTGAATAAGGATTATTATCATCATTATTACTCCTATAATTCTACATATGTGTATCAGTACTTTACAAACACACACAAAGTACAATTTTCTTTGGGGGAGGAGGGT